TAGACTTCCCAGTTGCTGCCAACCTTTATCTGTTTTGGAAATTATTGGCAGGTGTGCATGGCCTCTGTAAAGTATTTTATAACAGCTGTTTTAAGGTTATTTCTTGGAGTAAACTTGAGATAGACTTTCTCTCCCTCTGTCTCTTGTAAGACAGAATAGTTGCATCTCCAAAAGACCCATACTGGAAATCAAGAAACCTCTGTATAACCAGCCTTCTCACAGAAGGCTGAGAAAGATGAATGTATCACTTTGCACTCTCCAAATTGGAATGAATAGATGTATATCAGTGAAGGGACAATGGCTGTCTTGGCTCTGCCCAGCTGAAAGGAGAGAGCGTCAGGAATCAGCGGATTTAGGGTAAACTAATGTAGATGGAAGGAAAAAGGGGCAACATAGAGACAAGAATTAAAAAGGTGATACTGAAAGGGGATTGAAATGCACAATAATATATGAAGGAAGAAATTTAGGTAATGAATCCCTATTTCTACTTCTAATGAAAACATCATCATCATCATCAACAACAACAACATCATTTTAAACTTCACAGTTTATTCTACTGCCCTGATATTTCCTTCATCTTCCCTACCAAACTGCTAACCAGGTTCCCCACTGCTTAATCCAAGATCAGTGTTGGCTTCCCACTTGATTTGATGTAGATTTATCACTACTTCTCAGTTCAAAGACACAAATTCAACCTTCTGTGACTGAATCAACTTGAAGGGCTGCTCAGAGGAAGAGAAGGTTCTTGCTTAGCTTCAGATTCACTTCCTCTCACTGTGTCACTCGCACAGTAATAGACTCCCGTGTCCTCTGGCTTCAGGTTGTTCATTTGCACATAGAGTTGGCTTTTGGAATTGTCTCGGGAGATGGTGAAGCGTCCTTTCACTTTGTCAGAGTAGCGAATAGCACTTGAATCCAAGTTTATCTCTCCAACCCATTCCAGTCCCTTCCCTGGATACTGTCTCACCCAGCTCATCCAGTAGCTGCTGAAGGTGAATCCGGAGCCTTGGCAGGAGAGACGGAGGGAACCTCCAGGTCTTCTCACATCCCCTCCAGACTCCAACAGCTGAACATCTGACTGAACACCTGGAGAGAAAGATTTTTCAATGAGCTCTTCTGTATAGCAGAACAATAAAGAGAAAGAAAAACTATACAGAGGAAAGAATTACCTGGGAGGACTGCTAATAAGGAGACCATGTTTACCCACAGGATCATTTTTGCTCCCTGTAATGAATGGAGGGGAATTGAAAGGAGAGGTTTCGGGAAAGTGCACAAACTTTGTCTCAATGGGTGTAGCCTGGAAAGAAAAAACTGCTGGCTCCTTTAAAGAGGAAATTGTGCCCCAATTTACATATCCCTTGAGATAAAAGGGCTCCTCAGGGCATTGATCTCATAGTTTTCCTTGCACATGCATCACACGGGTGATTGTCACATGATTCCCCTTTCAAGGAAGGCTTTTCTATGGCTGGTGTGGGTCTTCCGGGCTGTGTGGCCATGTTCTGGAAGTTTTGTTTCCTAACATTTCACCAGCACCTG